AATATATGTACTATAAAAATCCGATTGGTAACTCACGAATTTATTCAGACAAGGTATCTCGTTTGGTGGTCTAATCCGAGTTCAATTCGTCGCTGGTTAAAAAATTATCTATAAATTAGGTTTGACGCATTTTGAAATATTTTAGCACTTTTACGTTATCGCAGCGACAAAATCTATTACTTAATTTTTTATTCGCGCCACTCTCGCGCATGTTTGGCAAATATCAACCGAGATGAAATATGAAATGCAACTGGCCCGAGAGGTCTGGCCAGCATTTAACTGGCCATTTATGTGCGTGATTATTACGTGATATGGCGAGCAATCGACCCATAAATAATATTAAGCCTGTTTCCAGGCGAGTGTGCGGAGTTGGATTCGAAGTCAGAGTTCCATTCCAGGTCCCGGGTCCCATGCTACACCCTCTCTCGATGCGAATTGATTTCTGTTTGGGCTGCGAGCACTGGCAGACTGTTAAATCATTTAATATACCAATTATAACAAGTCGAGTAGTTAACATAAATCCAGCTATCCGCATTCAATGCAAAAGTTAAGTGATTTTTCGCGCTGGACTTTTTTCTATATATTTTTTTATATTTGGCCAACGGCGACGTCGCCAAGAAATCAAAACTCATGCATTATGAATGCCAAAATTCTCTGACGTGGTCAATTTCAATTTTTATTTATTTTATTGCCTCTAATGCATCGGCGCACTGCCTGGCAAATAAATAAATATTGGAAATAGCAACAAAAGCATGACATTTGCAAAAAGGAACCCACTCTGCATATGAACAGTGAGAGCGAAAAGATTTGATGACGGAGGCAGCGTGACACGGGGTCTTGGATCTAATAATATATTTTATCACCAACTTTTTTAAATATGAATAAATCAAACGATAGATATCTAAAAATCTCACAGTTTAGTGATATCTCATTATTAAAAGATGAATAATATTCCTGTAGTTTAATTATTAGAAAACATTTATTAATACTATACGATTTTATCTCAACTTTATTAACCATCTCACATCTCTAATCGGAGTTTTATATCTTGGGCTGACAGGTTGGGTTCCCCACTCGTTCGCTAGGTGGCGTCTAGTGCTCGGACGTCTGTCCGGTGGGTCATATATATTCGAGTGTCTCGACGGACTTCTTTCCTTTGGCTGCTTTTGTACTGAATCATTGCCTGCACCGCGTTTTGCACCGCCAAAAAAGCAAAACCGTTGACTGTCTGCCCCACTGTCTCATATTTTATCACAGCAGCCGCCGTCTCGAGTGGCCAAGTGTCTTGGCTAGAGGTTTTTGGTCCGGGGTTTTTAGCCAGACTTTTTTCGGCTTATTTGGACTCTGTGGCACATGCTCTAAGACCGCTCGTTCGTTCGCAATTTTTTTTTTTTCGGCTTAGATTTACGACTTTTTATGCTGTTTTGATTTGTTTTTGCATAAGGGTGTTCACGTGGCCAAGACTGGGAGACTGTAGTCGCAACTGTTTGGCCGTTTGTCTTGTCAGTGGCGTTGTAATTGGGTTTCAGAATATGACGGAAAGAGTGTTGCTAATCAGCAAATCAGACTCTGGCGTTGAGTAGACGAATTACAGCGCACTTGGGGTATTTGTATTTTGGCTGTGGGTCTCTATGAATGCCAAACTGGCGATTGGCAACCTGTTTTGGACTTCCATTCAAAATGGAAAGGCGTTTATCTAGCCACCAGACTGGACCATCAATCTTGAGTCAAAGTGTCACGCAGGACACGATGTTTTTCCAATTTCCCAATTCTTAACCAAAGTCCAAAGGGGAGTGGTTGTCTTAAGTTGCCATATAATCCCAAAGCTAACGAATTTTATTTCTCATATTGCAACCTCTTAACTTAATTCCGCTATAAACCCATATTTTCATATCTACTTGTCTCCAAACCTATAAACATTAATACTCAAATGACTTTTTAGTGAGTTACCTAGTAAGTATTGCACTTGCCCCATCATTGGCGGCCATAACAGAATTAGCCAGTTGGAAATTGTGTAAAATAAACACATTAATTCTGGAATATTTGCATTTAAATGGATAACGACCGATGTGAAGATCGCTGGAGAAATCAATTGAACTGTTCGCTGTAGGCTCTCCAGTTATTGCTTATTTATTTGACTAGGTGATCGCGGCTAAAAGTTTACAATGGGTAACACAGGGAGAAAATCTTGATAGTGTTAAATATTACGATAGTATTTAATCCTCTACATAAAGTAATACCTTTTCTATTGTTTTAAAAAATATGTTAATCTATATATATAGATCTAGCCTATAATAAAGGCACTTTTTTAATCAGAGAATACTATACAAACATAGTGAAAAGAGTTTTTTCCTTTCAGAGCTATTTCTTTCATCACCCAACTTGTTGTACAGCACATAAAGCCCAATAAATAGGATCTTGGCTGGCTAACAGCCCTGGGCAGGATCGATCGTCAGAGGTGGAAATGCCAAGGATCGGATGGGACTGGCTAGGGTGGGTAGGGCAGGGAAGCATCGTCTGGCGGCAGCTGGGCAGTTGCACTCGCCGAAAGTCGTAAGTTGGGCAGTTGGCCAGGTGCGGGTGCCCCACACACTCGCACACTCGCCTGTAAACTGGTTGCTGGACATGAGGCGAGGCAAAAGGCTAGTAACTGGCCAACAAGCGTGCCGGGTTTGCATACTTAGCTATGTTTTATTTAAAAATTATAGCTAGATTAAAATAACTGTGACTGATAAGTCAAACATTGTAGCATTATTTATTAATAACAAATTTTATTTGACTATTCATTAGTCGATTGAATCTTAAAATACATCGCAGCTCCAAAACATAAAAGGACACTAATAAAATAATGAATATTTTCTGAAGTGGCTACTTTTGGTGGTCACTAGATGCCAGCACTGAGTGGAGTGGCCAAGTAAGACCTGGAACTCTGCGTGGCTTGGAACACACCCGCATCGCAGCAGCAGACAGGACTGAGACCCAAGCGCAGACCCAAACTCTGTTTAAAACCAGATTAGCGCCCAAGTCTGCGGCTAATTTTTGTCGGTGGGCCTAAGCAAATTTGAATTTGAATGTTAGCGGGTGATAGTCGCTGTTTTACTATTTTTACCTTTTTTTTGGACAACGAGAGACCACTTGGTCAGTTGGCAAACGCTGTCCCACAATCTCGAACCGCTGGCGGGTTGACAGTCTGGTGCCCCTTCACGCCCCGCGCGGTTCCTGTGAAATATAGGATGACATGGGGCATGGTTATGGTTACGTGCATACAAAAGCCACTAAGCTGATTACGAAATGTTGACCTTTTTGCCGCACAACCCAGCCACTTGTCAGCGCCTTTGGCGGAGGAGCTGCCGGCGAAAGGTTTATCTCAACTGCTTTTTTTGGGGTCCCCTTGCATACCCCACGATTCCCGACATCCAATCCCCTTTCCCCAAGATAATTGCCCGCGAATTGAGTTCGATTTAATTTGCCCATAATTCAGGTGGCTCTCGCTAATGGCTGAACGGGTGGTATTGTCGTCGTGAGTATTTCCACCTTATCACATTGGCTATAAACTAGACTGGAGTGAACCGTAAATCGAGCACTTCCACTTTGGCAAACAATTTGCTGGAAAGCTTGTATTACTTAATAGCTCGCTACATGCGTGACTCACTCGATCGGCCAACAGACATTACAGCACTTCTGGGTAAACACCGAACACTAAACCTATGAACTATTCCTAGGGTGCAATGATTGATAAGCCAAATACTTATTAGGTCACAAAGTAGATGATTGTATCGATTATGACTCATTAGATCACAAACCATCGGTTTATATCCCTCTTCCGACATAGTGATTTCTTTTTCAGCTGCTTCGTAAATATTTTTATCAAAGTGCGAACTTAAATTGAGTGTAGCTAAAGCTTTGTAGGATTCATCTGCATGCCGGCAGCTGGTCCTCTGTCGCATACCTGCGCACTATCCACTCACCCCGATCGAGTGGGGTGGAAATCAGGGCCGAAATGGTGGGAAAAGTTTTGCAACCCCCGGAAAGCCAAGTGAGACAAAAGCACCGGCTCTGAAGAGGCGTCGCTTGACAGCAACCTGGTGTCGGGTACCATTTACCGAGCACCAAACACCGAATACCAAACACCGGGTGCCTTCAAGGACAAACCCTACTTATAAACCCACCCCATACCACCCAGCAGCAGGCTGTTGCTGTTGCTGCTGAAGCTGTATCGTATGTTGTCCTGCAGCTGCGCAGTAAATCCCGTCCGACGACAGGGTGGCTTTTATTCAGTTTTTGGTGGGAAAATAAATCAGTTGAGTTCTCAAACATTGCTATACTGATGATTAATTACAAGCCATTTTTCGGAAACTGTACCTGATCTATGTCCGAAAATGTGCAGCGGAATTCAGTGGCCTCATGTTGCTCTTTTCAAAACTTACCTTCTTTATGGCTGTGAGAATGTTCATTTGATTTGTAATATTTCTGGATCGCTGCATTCGTGGATTTGCTCACTTGGAAATGCGGGCAATCAAGTAAAATGATTTAATTTGATTGAGCAGGATTTAAAGGAGCATTCTTGAAATTAGTGGCTACTTTTTGGTATGGGCCTTAATTTTCTGGGAAAGCTCTGCATGATACCAGATCAAATGCAAAAATATTGGTATCCCATTGACTTGCAATTTATTTAGGTGCAATGGGCTGAAAAAGTTATGGAAAGAGAGCTTGGGAAATTTCTTAAGCTTATTCTGTGCTGAGCAATTACATTTTCCTTACAAAAGATATTGCAAACAATTGAAGTCATTGCTTAGCTAAGGAGAAAGTGAAGTCAAGGAAATGTAAACTACAGACTGCACAATTTCGATTCAGCTGATTAAATTGGAAACGGAATCGGTACTAGTAACAAATAACAAATTAAATAAGTTGTAAATAAACTAATCTTACTCCAAAAACCAATATTTTTCCAAACACAAAATCACACTTTTACCATCAGTTTTCCTGTGATAAATATGATCTTGAAAAACAATCAATTTAATCAGCACATATTTAATTTTCACATTTTTTTGCTGCTTTGAATTCTGGCCTTGGGCCACTTGCGGCACTGTGGCAACTTTCCATTTCCAAATTGAGAGTCGTCGGGACAAATGGGTGCGCATGTGCGCCCCATCTATAAAACCAACAGCATTAGTCAAGCGCCAATTGGCCAGGAAAGAGAGTCACTGTTAAAGCCGAGCCCAAACAATCCTTGGGGGTTTTTGGTAGCACTTGCAGCGAACTCAATTCCGAGTGGGTGTAACGAGGCCATTCGATTTTCTATTGACAAATTTGTAATAATTTATCATGGACTAGAAATAAACGTAGTCGACCTCTCAGGTCGTAGCGGTACCAATGCCATTCCTTCAGCTTGTCCATATTCTTCTTGACCCGGCAAAGCGCAAGAACATTTCAGAGAGTCGGTGTACTGAATAACACCATAGTTTCCAGATATCATCCAGTTGTGATCGTTCCTTAAAAGAGTATCCGCCATGCCCTCGGGCAGGCCGCAAACCACCTCGCATTTGACAGTGCGAAGAGCGCAGATATTGGTGGGTCGGAAGCCCCTCAGGCAGGTGATGAACTCCTCTGCCGAATCCCATATATAATCGCCCATCAACTTGCGGTAGTTCAGATCTCCCTTAAAAATGGCTAGCTTGGAGTTAGTAAGCATGCGATACAGCTCCAAGTCGGATTCCACCATCACAAAGTATGGCTGTGGACCCGTCCAAAAATATGACACTGGTGCTATTATAATCTTTTCAAGGCGCATCAGGCGCGCCCATTTTTTGCCCAAGCTGGAAAGGCACTCATCTTTGTGTTGGGATAGATAGTCTATTGTCCATTCGACATCTTTTCGCGTAGCATCGGATATATACCAGGGTATGGCTTTGACATGCAATCGCACCTGGGTGGCCAGGTTATTATCAACCATGTATTCCAGCAGCAGCATATCCGTGAAGAACTCGAAGCCTCCATTGTCACAGATGAAGTCCACTATGACGTCCTGGCTCGTTTTCTTCGTCTTCATTAGGCAGTTCCACACCAGAGTGGAATCGTTAACCAGAAGGATCCTATCAATGTCAGCTACTTCTACCAGAACATTTATGTCGTTCTGATTGTCTTCCTCTCCGAATTGAAAGGCATCAAATTGCATGTCGAAGTGATTACCCCATAGGTTAATCCTTAACAGCTTGCTAAAAACATCAAAGCTCTTGGACAATCCACGAGTGGCTTTGGCCAGGACTTTCATGGGTCCTTCACTGATGATCAGGTCCTGCTTTTTCAGGTGATCAAAGCAGTCGTAGTTGTGCAGAAAGCGACTGTTCTCGAAGAAGGAGAAAATGCGCCGATATAAATAGCATTCGGAGTGTAGCCAGCAGGCGCGAAAGAAGGACCTTTTGGGCTGTGGGATCTCTGTCAAGAAGGCATTCCACTCAGCCTTGTCCGGTTCAGCGCCGTGGAACTGCAGAAACTTTCGATCCCGGTTTAGTTCCATCTTCAGACGCTCAATGGCATCTACTATCTGCTTGACATCCTTGCGCACCTCTTCGCCGTATTTTTCCACAAATTCCGGCAAATCATCCGTCACCCTCATTATAATTTGCTGCATGATTCCAGGCATTCGCGTCCTTAATGTCAAGTAGGCGAAGCTCTGTTTGAATCTTCCGGACAACAGGGAATGACGTGGTGTCGGTCCCTCCATAAGGTCCGTCCCGGTGGACTTGTTTGAATGGGTTGATACTCGCCAGCCCATCTTAGTTATCTTAAGTTGGAGAGGCAGCTTGATTTTTTTAAATTTAACCGAAGAAGAACAAAAAGATTAAAAGGGCTGAATGTAGCCTTTTCGAATTTTGTTACAAATTATGATTAAAAAAGGAAAAGCTCTTGGGACCCCAAAATTTAAGATTTAATTTGTGTAATTTACATATTTTCTAAAAAAATTTTAAGTCAATTAAAGTAAATCCAAGCATGGCTCTAGATTCTAAATATTTTAAATTTAATGGTTAATTAAGGTATAAGGGTAAATATAAGGATTATTATTGTACCTTGAAACCACCTTTCTGACATTTTTTAAAATTGGGAACTTCGTGCTAAAGTTTAATAAAACCAAGGGAATTATAATAACCATATAAAAAAAATTTTTTGCTTGATTTCAATTTAGAAATTAATATTCATAATTCACTTTGTAGATCTGTGATCGCCCCAATGGAAGTTACCTGAGGACGTCCCCACACAAACCAGCTAAGTACTGTGGGAAACATCTCGGCATAAAGGAGATACCAACTTCCCATATTTTCCTTTCAAGAACCTCTTCCTTCCGCTGCCCAGGTGTTATCCGCATCGCGGCATGTCCAAGTGTAATTTACACGATCGGTGGCAAATAAAATTTGCATATTCTTAGAGCTCTTGGCTTGCCCTTGATCCTTGATTGCATCCGGTTTGTGATGGCATCGAGTTGCAGTCTCGCCTCGGAAAAGTGAAAATCATAACAAGGCTAAGGGTTGGGCTAGGGTTAATGCATTTAGCATAATTGTCACATGTTAATAAACAAGTCCGCGGCACTGTGGGAATCCCGAACTCGCAGTTGGCGGGGTTAATTCTATGCTAATGGAGCAAGGTGTGCACTTCCTCTGACAACCCTTCTTGGATCCGATACTCCTATCCATTCCGATCCAATTGAATGTTTTACGAACTGCGGATGACGCAAGTGTTCGTTCGGATCGTTCAGTTTCGTTTCTGGCTTATTTACATAAGCATTTGCCAAAGGAAACCGAACTGATATGATATTATGTATTTGCCCATGACACATCCAAACATTTTACACATAAAAAAACATATAATTTTTAAAGTTGTTAAAGCAATAATTAAAATGGTTTATCAAAGGCTGTCGAAAAATAGTGTAAGAGTATGAACAATGGATTTAAATTTATCTTGAAAGACCTAGTCTACGTATATTGCTAACAGAATTAAGTAGATTAAACATCATTTTCACGGTGTAGCATTTACCCCTTTGTGATTTTCTGTGGCAGACACCGGTGCGTCAAAATAGTGGAAACTTGCGCTTCTTTATCGCTGTCCGTGCACCTTAGAGCCCGCCTATTCGCATCCAGGTGTTCTCTTCCACGGAAAACGAAAACTTCCCCCGTGACAATCCGGTTCCGATTTGGTGGTGATTCCTTTCGTTAGCTATCTTTAGATTTGCGACTCAAGGTGCTATATACGTTCAGTTCGCCATTTTCGATCGGCAGTTGCCTCTATTGTGAGTGGCGAGTTTCCGACGAAGACGTTACATTTGAAAATACACTTTTAATAGCCAGGGGTATCTTGCAATTGTATCCCGATTTGCCATGCTTGGGAGGCTCAATCAAAAGTATTAATAAGATATCATTAATGTCTATTTAATCAAAAGTTTTACTAGAACAATATTAATAACACTGACTAATAACCGTTAGGGTATTTTAATATTCGGTTTTTAAGACCCATCTCCCTTTCTTGTTTTGGGTGAATTTGGAAGGGGCTAAGACTCGATTGCGTTGCCTTGTGAAATCACGAACCCGAAATCGCCGAGCAGCTGCGCAGTTATAGTTATTGTGGCAAGTTCTGGCATGTGCTCATCGCTACGCAATATTGTCAGTATTTTATTTTGTGGTGTGGGGAGCGAAGTCTATGACTGGGCATTGTTCGATTTCGGGAAGCGAATAAGACCCAACCCAGGCAGGTCAAATTAAGATCGAACGGGGCTATCTCGCTGAGACCAAATTATGTTCTGCCATAAAAATGCCTAAACTTTCACCCGACCCAAGGAAAAAAAGTGACAAAATATGGCTCACCCGGTAATTGCTCCCAGCAGATCAGTGAATATATTTATGTTATTGCTGCCCCCGATCGTTGCAAGTAAAAAATTGCATTATCAGAGTCATAAACAAATTAGGGGACCCAACAAAAAACCGAGAACGAAAGCGGAGAGAGCGGCAGCTGCATATGTGGACGGATAATCAAGGCTCAAGTGGCGGGTCCCATTAGCTGACACCGCAGCCAGGGAAGTGCACACAATATTTTAGAAACAATGGCCAATGGCACACTAAGAAAAAAAATACTAGGGACACTGGAAAAAAATGGAAATATTCAATATATATTTTAAGGAATATTTCCTTTGCAAAAATGTTTAAAATAAGATCCTACTTAAAAGAGTTATCAGTTTCTTTGCAATGCTTAGTTTAATGTTGTCCTAAATGCTTCTTTAGCTTGTTCTAAAATTTGTTCTCACTGGAACGCAGACTCCTCTAAGCTCGACAAGATTAATAACTCGCCGGCGTACGTTCAATTAATCTTTCGCTGCGCCTGCTCTGGAAATGCAACTGGAGCTGGCAGACATGGAAATCGAAGTCCCACCCACTGACAACTTAACGGCACGGCACGTCTCCGGAACGGATCCCCGGGATCCGATGGGACAGTAGCCGTCGGAATGGGATGCCATGAAATGGGATGAGGTGGGATCGTGTACCTGCCGCATTGTCAGTGTCAATTGTGACAGTGCCAGCGACAGACGCTCACTCCCCGAAAACAAACAAACGGACACGTTCTCCTGGGGGGAGATGAGAAGATGGCCCCCGTGATCATGGCAAACATTTGCCCATGAACGTGACAAAACTGAAGAACACGCTGCCGAGAATCCAGCTAAATTAGTTGTTTTAGCTGCTTCTAAATTTAGGAGCTACTACGACCCCTCGGCTCATTTCGAGATTTTGGGCGTGCGGCAATCCATTGGCCATAAATCAATTATACGGCCCCAGCCGTATTTATAGACCGACTTCTGGGCTTCAGTTCAGGTGCATGGGTGAGGAGAATTCCCAACCATATAGCGGCAATAATTTTAAACATTTTCATAGTTTAAATTTATGTAAATATAATGCCGACAGCTCGAATATGCTGCTACATCCGAAATTAGCATAAAATATAAATCGAAAATCATTTGTAATAATTAGGGCGGCATTTGCTGCCGTTTTTAACACCGATTTTTTGGCAGAAAAAATATATGGTACACATCCCAAGAGTCTTCCCTTGCACTTAATTTGTTTAATTAGGAATCCCTCGGGCAAACAAATGCTTTTGACTTCATTATGGCCAGGGAATACAATAAAAAAAAAGAAAAACATGCGAAAGCTGTCAGCTAAATTGATGCACACCCCAGCATTGGATTTCAAAAGCCGTGAGCCCACAAAAACACGAAAACAAAAGCAAATGAGACTGGAATTGCATTGTGGCACCACCAACTGAACCACCTCAACCACCATCCATCTGAGCCACCAGCACGCAACTTGACTCCTTCCTGTTCACCACAACAACAGAAAATCGAGAAAAACTGCAGGAGCAGTCGAATTTTATTTGAATTAGCAACGCGCAATCAAAAACATTCAAACACGCATAAATTGAATCCCGTGGGATGATTTCTGTTTCGGGTTCCCAGTGGCGCGGTGGCAACCCCCTCGTCGTCCTGCCAGCAACTTGTCACGTGATTCCAATAACAAATAATTCCTGCCCAGGATCATCCCTTAGTCCAGCACCAGAACTACGTCGAAATCTATCCGGAACCCGTATTTCGTTGAGCGTGGGTAAGTTATTTATCGGTCAGAATTCAGCAGGGAGAAGCTGTGGACCTTAACCTGACCACCCCATCCTGCAGAAGTCCTTCTCCCCCCTCCTCTGGTTTCCTCATCGACTCTGCAAGTGTAAATGGCTTCGGTCATGGGAACATTCGCACTCCATAATGGAATAGTTATATTCAACATTAGATACTCAATGGGTATTAATTGATTGGCCTGCATGTGAGGGTTCTCTTAACATCTAGAAATAAGGTGTGGCTATGTAATTAAAAATGCAAGGAAAAGGTTTCCATTTAAAGTGAAGAAAATATTATTCCTGAGACAAACAAACAAATGAAATTGCAAAATTATCTCAATGAAGTGTCTTTTTCCTGTACCTGCCGGCTAAATTAATCCCCAACAAGCGATAGCGAACTTGAACTTCAGTTTGCCCTTCAACTTCACTCCAAGAAATACCGCAAAAGGATGTTTGTCATTGATAAGCAAATTAAATTAAGCACCCCAAGAAATTATCTCGAGATGTCCATTCGGATATGCAAACATATTTGCAAGTGATTCAGCTTTTGGCTCACCAAATTTGGATTGCGGTTGGCAACTAATAAAGCGGCGAATATTTCATTTTTATGATGTCTCAACAGTGCATTAACATAAACGCTGATGCTAATCTTTTTTTCCCATGAAGAACCAAAGAAACATAAACAATTTATTATCGTGATTCATTTATGAAAATAAAATCACAAGCTCGCTGGTGATTATTAGTTGGAGATGAGAGCGCCAAAGCTACCGATCAGCGGATCGATCTATCTTTCCAATGCCAAGCGGGTGGTCCAAAAACAAACCAACTTTATAGATGCACAGAAAGAAATTTATTTTTTAAAATAAGTTAAATAAGTATTTAAATATTAAGTATAAATTGTAATGCATTTGTGAATTTGTTTTCTAATCAATTTATTTAAAAGTTTAGATACGTTAAATAAAAATATTAACCGATAGATTGTTATACAAATCATTAGTTCATGATTATCATTTTCTTCTCTGTAGTTGACCACAAAGACTAGTAACTAAGCTTCTTCCCAGCAGATTAATATCTCAAGAGCGCATTTTAATTAGCGGCGATGAAGTCGAAACTTAATTTATTGTCACTTGGCCTAATGAAACACGCCTTAGAGTCCCAAGTCTTAGGTTTTAGACCCCACATAATTGACCAATTTGTGAGTGTGTGTGGTGGGTCTCTTATCGCACAGAACGCGAAGCGCACACGCTGTCAATAAAACAAATTAGTTTGAATTATAGACGCAGCTTCTATTTTTTAGTTTTGAACTTCGAAGAGTCCCGAGATTAATTTATGCGGCGTCGGAAGCTTCAGACTGTTGTCTGCTTTTATTCGATTATAATTACCGTTGCCGTGTTCTCCGGCCAGATAATAATATCGGATTTCAAAAGCGGCGTTTATGCTCGCTGACCTGGGAGCTTCCCCCGGCCTGGCCATATCAGGCGCCAATAGTTCTAAGATCTTGTTTTGATTGCAGCTCGGTCTGGGCGACGTCGTATTCTTCTTGCATTTTTCTTGTTTTTCCCCCGCATTGTCTGCTCAGTGGCTTGAAAAACCTTCAGCTCGTGACAATGTGAGACAAAAGTCGGCGTGTGGCTGGGACAAGCGGCCTGGATCGGATTCGTTTTGGATTTCTGCATACTTTTTGCCGTTGTAGTAGTTGTTGGTTGTTTGTTGTTTGAGTATTTCACCGCCCGACTTTCTTTTGTCCGCTCCTGAGCGCAGCTGCATCCAGCAGATATCCAGATACTCGGATGCCCCGATCCCCAGATACTCGCTGCCTTGCCACCTTGACGGCGGCAAATTAATGACATTTTGCACTTCATTATGCGACTCTGTGCGGCCGTTTGACACTTTGAAGTGAGGCACTCAGCTGTGGAGCAGTGGAAATCTGTGTGGGACAGTTAGCCTTTGCGGTTTACCTGCCAGGTGATGTGCAGTTAGCTTTCCTCGGTTTTCCAGGGTTTGATGACACTATCCACATTGTTGCCGAGCTCTTGGTGGGCTGACCAAGTAAGAGGTGAAATTGACCATGGTCAGAATCGTATGAACATCGCCAGATGTCTTTGAGCTAAAACTAATTGTGCTATGAGTAAGGATAAAGTTGATGGATTGGGTTGTAACTTAGTCGGATAAAATGAGTATTCCTATTCTTTTCAATTGATAAGTATTTTGAATAGCTCTTAATAGATCAAATCATTTAACGAATCACTTCATAAGATCAGCTAACGATGCATTAAAGAACCATTAGTGGCTTTACAATTCCAACGCCAGTTAATTAAAATTCAAATTCACTTTTCAATTTATTATCAACGATCGTTTCTTATTGTAAACGTTACAATGATCACGTATACAAAAATAGATCTCGCCCAGCTGAGCACACCGGTTCGTTACAGGATTTTGCCGCCAAACTCTCGTGGTAAAGAATAATCAGGACCAAGACGGAATCAGTTCCTTATGGTACGTGTCACAGTCGGCAGATGTGGGTATAGAAGATGCATGGATCGGGGGGTGCAATTCCTTGCAAGACGCTCGACGACGAGGGGTTGGCCCGGAAAGTAACGACCAAAACTGCAGTTCCACCACCATCGCCGGCATTATTCCGCCGAAGGTTGTCTGGTGATGCTGTGGATTTTGGGGTGGGACAACTGCGCCAGGTAGATTTCCACGAACCTCACTCTCTTTTGGCGCATTCCAAGGCACTCAGCTCCGATCGGAGTAAAAAGCCAGGTAACTGCCGGGGCACATGCCCATTTGGGGTGGATTGGAGGTTTATGCCAGATGGCGAAATTCTTTAATATCGGGAATCGAAATTTCATGGCCGTTAGGGGTTTATTCCTACAGAGTGCACCTATTTACCAGGAGGAGGAGGTGGAGGACGACCGGAACAATGCTCCGGGAAAGGTTGATTTACCTTAGATCTGCGCGCTGTTTGTCCTGGTGATTAATATTTTTGTGGACGTCTGAGTTGGTACATTGCATTGTTGCTTGGATCGATTTAATGTCGGGGCCAATGTCACGTGCTGATCCTACGCAGCTGCCCTCCGGAGAGGATTGCTCTGATAACGATCACTTTGAAAGCTAAGTGCTGATTTTCTTTTAAAGGTTTTTGCATTGCAATGTGAATAGAACAGCGGGGGAAGTAATTCCAGAAGGTCTTAAAAAAGCTGTAGAAATGTAAAAAAAGACTTTATGTTTTCAGAAATCTGTAGAGTAAACTATTTCAGACTCTGCTGGATGATTGCTTTTCTTTTCTGACTTTTAATAAATCTAATTCTTTATGGAATTGAATGTATACCCGGGTTTTGTTATATTAACCAATATTGATCCAATTTGAAAGATTTGGGTTATTAACTCAAACTAAAGACCTGGAAAATATTGTGACTTCTTTATCACTTGTAAAATCCATTCAGTGGAAAATGTGATCGTTTAAGCGCCATCATCATTTGAAAAGTTAGCAGTCAGCTCAATAAGCAACTTAGTCATGAGATAGCTTATAGATCCTCTGAAGACCCAAGAAAGTTATCTCTTAAGTTCGTGGGACGACTGAAAGATGGAACAAGAGTGCCCCAAAGAGCGAAGAGAGTGGAGAAGAGTTGGGGTATCCCACACGAAGCTTCTCTTAACAGTGCTCCAAAGAGCAAGCTCACCTGCTCCCGAAGAGCGCCCATCTATAGGGTTTTCGTACATAGGCGGACCCGAAAGAGGTTTATAAATAAACTTGATCGGGTATATAGCAAGCTCGCCACCAGCTGCCGCTCACTCACACCACCGAAGATCAGGGGAAATACGAGCTAAACCAGAGAGGCAGCTGGTGGCGATCGTCGAGAGAAAGAGAGCGGTCCCTGTGGCACGTGCTCGCTTTTTACACAGATTTGTTCCTCTCCAGATCGGATCCCTCCCTCTCTCTTGCCATCCATCGTTCTCTATATGGCACTGGTACCCCGTATTGCCCGATCTGCAGCTGTATCTGCGTTCAATGAACGCACAGCTGTGGCTCGATCGCTGAATGGATCTTTGGCTCGTGGTTCGGGGTGGATTTACAGAATCACAGGCGACATCGGAAGTAGGTAGTCGCCAAGATCCTTTTTGCCCAGGGGGTTGATCATCCAGTCAGGGGGTTGATTGGGAGTCTATAAAACAGAACCGATCCTTGCCGGGTTGCATCATTCGAGCAAGGAACTCCAAGCGATCGAGACGCGTGTGGCAAAAGCAAATGAGTGAGCAGTGATTTAAGTTCAAGGATCGGTATTAAATACAAAACATAGATCGGTGATCGTGTTCAGTGATCATAAGAATATTTTTTAAACAAATATGGATAAACTCAAGTACAGCCGCTGTCCGCTTAAGAAGCGTCCGATAATGGTGGAGGAGTCCTGTCTAGAGGATCACCTTAGTCATGGTAGGTTGAAGGTTATAAGAAATTAAAAGCTGGCATATGCTAACTTTCTGCTCATCTCTACAGATGAAGGACCTGTGGACTTAAGTGTGGCCTCAGCTGCTGTGCCGCTGGAACCCCATTGGATGGTGAAAACGGAACCGGAACCTCAAACCGTGCCCACGGAATTGAGACGCCGCTTCGACGTCGCCATGAGTCAAACCAAAGAGCAGTTGGCTCGTCGAATTTGGGAGGAAACCCGTGAAATTGCACGTGCTTTTCCGGATGTTTTCACTCGTGAGGAAATTGCTAAAAGTCTAGCCCGTCTTGGATACGGAGAATTCGAGTTGCCGCCTGAGGAGGAGGTAATGGAACCGGAACCAGAGCCAGAACAGCAAATTCCCATGGGCTATGCCAGAGAAGCTACCCCCACTATCGTGAAGGTGGAACGTACTGAAGAAGAACACTTTCCCCTGCGAAACTACAATAACAACCTACTCAAAAGCATAGCCGAGTATGAGGATTGTATTAAAGTCCAGGGAATCAAAGAGGAAATAGTTCCTGCTCCACCACCCCAGATGTTCTATCCGCCTCCCACCCCTCTGGCAGAGCCAGAAGACCTTTCCGTGACCCAAAGAAGAGTGCTAAGTGAGAATATGAATCTGCAGAATGTGGCCAGGGCGTTGCTAAGTATGCAGCACATGGCTCCGCACCACCCGCCACCTCCACAGGACATGGAGGAAGATCAGGAGAATCATGACATCAACCAGCTGAAGATCAAAAGCAGCAATGATCTGTACTATCAGTGCCAGCAGTGCAACAAATGCTATGCCACCTACGCTGGGCTGGTGAAACATCAGCAAACCCATGCCTACGAAAGCACCGAGTACAAGATCATCAGGAGTCAGCCTGGAGGATCGGGTCCTATAGTGGATCAAACTGAGTTCTGCACGGATCAGGCTTCGGCTTTGATTCAAGCAGCCAATGCGGCATCGGCTCAGAGCATGCAGAAGCCAGTGGGAGTGCCAAGGTATCACTGCCAGGATTGCGGAAAGAGCTACTCCACCTATTCGGGACTCTCCAAGCACCAGCAGTTCCATTGTCCGTCGGCGGAGGGAAACCAAGTGAAGAAAGTGTTTAGCTGCAAGAACTGCGACAAGACCTATGTCTCGTTGGGAGCCTTGAAGATGCACATTCGGACTCACACGCTGCCCTGCAAGTGCCCCATTTGCGGCAAGGCCTTCTCGCGGCCATGGCTTCTTCAGGGTCACATTCGAACCCACACGGGAGAGAAACCCTTCAGCTGCCAGCATTGCAACCGTGCCTTTGCCGACAGGTCAAATCTCCGAGCCCATATGCAGACCCACTCGGATGTGAAGAAGTACTCCTGCCCCACCTGCACAAAGTCCTTTTCGCGCATGTCCCTGCTGGCCAAACATCTGCAAAGTGGCTGTCAGAGTGAGCAGAATGGAGGTCCCAGTGGGTCAGGAGGTGGCTTTGATCAACAGCAGCTCCAACAGCACCTCCAGGGCTATGAGGAGGGTCATAATCCCCATCAAGTCTACTATGCCGGCAGTGTGGGCAGCAGCAACGGTGAAGAAGAGGAGGTCGGGGACTACTCTATGCCACCACCGGCTGTCTATTAATCCTAAAGTTAATAATCCATAACCTAAGTCAGTTTAGCCAAAGTCAGAAGTTGAGAAGAAGATTCAGGGAAAAGTCAGTGCCAAAAATTAGTCAGGGCAATTATATTGCCTCTTAGGGTCTCTAGTTTATCAGAAATATTTATATAGAGTTGTCACTAAATTATTCCAATACTCATATCGCAGTTTAGAACTTAGTCATAGATTGTTTTCGTTGACAATTCCTTGTATTATAAATCGTTGTTAAAACTCATTCGTGTACAGATCAAAACGGTGCCAGAGAATAAACCCCATCCATGTATACCCAATATACCAACTTATAATTTAAACATTTAATTTATTTTAAATTAACTTTATGATTTAAGCTCTGTAAATATGGTGAAGGTAGCCATTTACTTGCATGTATTTAATTTTAATTTTTTTTAATAAATAAAAAACACAACAAAACGAAGTTTTTAAAGTTCCTTTAAAATGGGGAAGAAAATGTATTAAAAACACAAGGAAAAATGCAAATAAATTGCTAGGATATAGATGTACATCCAAAGAAAATATGTATTGAATTTTCAGGAAAGGAAGTACATAATCGCCTCTCATAAAAAATAACCGTCTTTGCAACATTATCTATTGGACGATTCGCTCGAATCGCTTCGCAATCTGAAAGATGCAATCTCGGGAAAGCTTTGTAGGTGTCGTTTATTTATCGCTGCACTCGGAATAAAAATCCACAGAAATCGAGACATTCAACCGTCAATGAGACTCAATGGGGGGCTAAAAAAAAAAAAAATAAGGAAAACCGTTTATATATATGAAGCCGTTTATATGTATAGAAATGTATTGAAAATCGCTGCTTAAATCAAAATTAATTGACAGAATAATAATTGTTTTGAACGTAAAGCGCCGAAATGCAAACGGCAAACCGGAGGAGAATTGGCGCAGCTGCAATTGCAACTGCAACTGCGACTGCGTCACCGGCAAACAGCAACACTACAACCAGCAACACAGCAACCAGCAACTAGCAACATCAACAACAGCAGCAGGCGGCAAGCGCCAACAGTCTAGTATTTTTGTGGGCCTGTTGCAGTTGGCGAAATCCACTCAAAACAACAAACCAAGCGATGAATCATCGATTTTTGTTTTGAATTTTTTTTGAGGCGAAACAAAAAAATCAACAAAGCCGGCTTTTGGTGCAGCCGCACGCAGCTAGATGGCGCTAGTGGGCAGCCAGGCAGCCAGGTTGCAGGCTGTGCCTGCCAGCTCAATTAAACGCGTTTTCCAGTTGCCGCTTTTCCGCTCTGCAGCCCAGCCGCACCTTACTTTATATAGCGAAAAGTCCCACCTACCCTGCATCCCCATCTGGATCTCCCGCTCAACTCACTCGCATTATTATAAAAGCCGTCCACGCAGTTTCTAACGCTCTACAACTTCCAGTTTACTTTTTGTTCATAAGTTGGTTTACTCTTACGAGAACGTGAGGATTGCAAAATTCTGGTTACATTTGGTTAGTATATAAGAAGGTCTTTCCTTATTTTTATAACCATTAGATAATTATATTAATTTTAATGAGCAACGACTGATTAAAATGTACATAATTTTTCATAATATCTAAGCCTATTTGAAGGGAATTCGGCGGTTGGTTTCCTAATCCCCTGCTTCCGAGTTCGGCTGGGCCGAGCGGTAGCTTTTCTGTCTATTAGGAAACCACGCCATAGAGCCGCCACTTGAAAGTCATATTGCATTTGCCAGACAGCACTAGCCAGAACCGGAGACAGCCTGATTTTTAATATATATTTTTTTTTGATTTTGATTTTGAGTGCGCGTGCTGCCGTTTCGGCGGCTCTAAGTGCCACGCCTCTTTCGGAACGCATGTGGTTCTGTGGTAGCGGCATTTGGTCAAAGGTTAAATGAGACGGGGGCCTGGTGACAAGTGCCAGGCAATCGTTTAGAGCGCTAATTTATGGGCCGTCGAAATCAAATAGAAAAAACATAGAAAAATCAAAGGCCGAAAAACAACCGAAAAATGTGTTTTTCACTTTGCTCGAGTTTCGTTTATTACGGCTACGTGCAGAGTTGGCTTAATTGGCAGTCAGTTGAACGGCCAGGTTTTATAGTTTGCTAACAGCACACGCCCTGTTCTTTTCTAATTTTGGGCCCGGCTTCCTCGCCGTGGCAGTTTAATTAATCTTCAATCGCCCCAAGTTCTCTCAAAATGCATTTTTAAATGCATTTTTCCGATCAAAATTATTATTATTTAAATTCAAATATTCAAGACACGTTTTTCCAGCTCGTTGGCCATTAATATTTAATAATTTCAATCGGCACATGAAACAAATTATGGAATATTACCAGGCGCCGCAGCTGTATATATAGACAACCCTCATTGTTTTTGCCTGTGTTGATGTTGTTGTTTTTATCGACTATTGGTAAAGGTATTGGTGTTGTTCTTGTTGTTATGGCCACTAAGCTGTACGTGTTGTTTGCTTAACGCGCCGAGTGTAAATTAATATTTAATTATGATTGTTCCCAGCTCGGGCCTCTGATCGTGTGTTGAGTAAACGCCATTTTCTGTATTAAGATCTAATCGCCGTGTTTATGAAATGCTGCCAACACAAAACGTTTAAGCCAAGTCACTCGTGCCTGGGTTTTGGCAAATCGATATTTGGCTCTCGCTTAGATTAGCCATATTGGGAAATGGATAGGAGGTTGAAAATAACAGAATATTTGGAGGCTTGAAAGACATTCAATGTATTTCACATCAGCATAGGAAGTCAGCATTTCTTTACATAAAATACAGTTAAATGCTTAATTGGGCTACTAAAGTTTGATTAAAAATTATATTTCCTCTAAGAGACTTTAAGTTATCTCATAAAAAAGTACTTATGTCGGTTAATTAAGAATATCTCAATAAAGCGCAGCGCAGATCTTGTAGGTAAACCCAATCCCAACTTAATAAAAATGTTGCCTTCTTAAAGCCCAGTTCTAGCTGGGGCTCATCGCCCCAAGCGGCTCTGCATGTGTGGAGGGGTGAGTCGGTCGGCTGACAGCTATGATTAGCCATGAGCAAGACAATCCTGACTGTCCATAACTCATGCCACACACACACACAACACTTCAGCGGAACTGGCCGAAAATACGTCTTGGCCAAGTCATAAATCCGATGCCGTGCACTCGTCGACGTCAAATTAATCAAAAGGAAACCAAAATGCAGCGCAGGCAAATTAGCCATAACAAAACCGAAGCGAAGCCGACACAGAACTCTGGCAGACCAAAAAATAAAAAGCATCAAGTGGCAAAAGCCAAATGAGAACTTTTTTCCCACACTGCCAGGCGATCAAAGCGAACCGAGGAACGAATTCGACACAAAAATGAGAACCTTTTGAACAAATCACATGCAGACAACGCCCCTGAAATGGAATCGATATAATTATTTGCATTATTAATAATTACCATTGTCTCGCTGGGATTTCGACTTGGATTCAGCTTCAGATACAGAATCGGATTCGGTTGGAGATATGAAATTCAAATTCAAGTGCGTTGGCGTTGTGGCTTTGACCGCACACAGAACCATAAAGATTGGGTTTTGCACTCGTAATATGCTAAAGAACTGGCCGGGACGGGAAGGAACGGGCTAATTAATTCAAACCGCAAAGCAAAAAGCTGAAACTTCAATACGGAAATAAGCTTAATCTAACCGCCGTAGCGAGAAAAAAGCAATTTGAAAACTTAATGTGGACTCCGGTTCGAATCGGGCCTCGGATATATGGCACTGAGGCGCCAGCGGCAAAACAATTGCACCGAGCTCTGGTTTTGGCCATATGTGTGTGTGTGTGTGTGGGCCACCCACACCGGGCCAAAAGCCGGACAAAAAACAGAAATCCGTCAACAGGCGACAGACAGCGCATATCAAAAAACTCAAATATGTCTGAGCCTCCAAACCCCATGAGGCAAAATTCGAACCCAACCTGACCGCGCTCCACGCAAAGCTTCAACTTGTCAGCGCGCTAAGTGCTCGAAAAATATATATATACGTATATGGTATATATATAAATAAAATGAAATCCGAGTTCTTTTAAATACCACGAATATAGCTATGACACATTGTTCTTTTAGCGCCTCGCTTTTAGTTCTCCATTGGGCGTTCAACCCGCACATTCGATTTGTTGCAGAGCAACCTGTTGTTTTGCTCACTTGCCGCAGACAGCTGAAATCGGATTTATCTTATTACAACACACAAAAGGCGATAGGCAAAATATTTAATTATGCCCGTGCCGCGTATTAGTTTCCAGTATCTGCGGGGCACTTGAATGTCAGCCATATGAAGTGCAAATGCTCTATGGGTAGGGTTCCTTTCAGTTTTTGAAATCTTTCTGATAGTAAAGGTAGGCTTGAAAGGTTTTAAACAGATTTTTAAAACTTCAATTAAATAAGGTAAAGTTTAATATACTAAGGCATTTTAAACATTAAAAGGCGTTTACAAATGTTGCTTGTAATTTACTTTTAAGGATGTACTAAATAAAGGACACTCTTTCTCAGGACACTTTTATCATTAATATTTTGGAATAGTTGGTTATGTTTTCAAGCCAAAAGCGAGCTGATAATATATTTTAAGGGTATTTTCAAAACGTAGTTCATGTGCAACACAATCGAAGAAGGTGGGGGCGTGGGTGCTCGACCCGCCGCCGTCGTCGCCATTGAGAGGGCGTCAAAAGAGACAAAAGCCATCCAGTCACAAAATTGACATTTTGCTTTCAGCAGCAGTAGTTGCGAACGAAAACCACCAAAAAAAAATTAAGATGGAAGGGAAAAAAAGTAAAAACAGAGCGAAAAAATCATATTTTGCACGTTTTTTGTGTCGAGCGGCGACGAGCGAAACAAAAGACTTAGGCAACGAACTTGCCGCAAAGGGCTCGGGAACAGCCCGTCCGCCAGTCCACCGAGTCCATCCGCCACTCCAGCGCCGCTGCAAAGTGTCAAGTTGCGCAACTTGTCAGCCAAGTCTGGGGGCTTTTTGTTTTATGCATAAAGCCGTTTTTAATTAAACCGACGACAGCCACTAAACATGCCCCATTATCATGTCATATCTATGTGTACTATCTGCATGTGCCTATCTTCTGGCCGGGCACCCAGGCTTCAGACCCCCAGACGGTAGACTCCAGATCCCAGACTTCAGGCCAGGATCGGATCGGTTCGGATCGGTTCAGTTCGGCTCGGCTATATGGCGGTGCGCTGACATAAACGCTGACATTAATTGAGTAATTTATAACGATGCCGGGCAGACAGAATGGACGGAATGGATGGAAAGACATCGAGAGCCGACATCAAAAGCTCGGCAAGCGCATGTCTCGGGGCGCTCCAGAGTCGAGAGGGATCCAAGAGCACAACATGATATTGTTATTATTATTATGATTACCAGCGACATGAATTCAATTAACACTTGTCAGATGTAGTCAGCTC